TGCCGTCTCAGCCACTTTACAGGCCAGGGTAGGACTGTCCGAGTGTCTGAGGCCGCAGCTCTTCAGGGGCGTGGAAAGCCCTTTCCTGCAGAGCAGCTGCAGGTTTCAACCTGGTGGATGGCCTTGCAGATCAGAGCCCAGCGAGTCCCCTACATACCTCGGTCTGTTTCTACCAAAAAAAGATAACTCAGCACTCGTTTTACTACAAATGTTCACTGTCCCCCCAAATTAAGAATCACCCAAGTGAGTGAGTTATCCACAGACTTGCATTTATTTACCTTTGTTAAGTGCTAATAATTCACGATGATGAAGACAACTCTCTACTCTTAGGGAGTTTGCAATTTTTCATTGCTGCCTGTTAGTGTGGAGGCTTCCAGGACCTTAACCCAGAGTCAGTCTTGACCCGGCGGTGGGGAGTGCATTACGTGGAGGGGAGGCATTGCTGCAGGCTCTGCTGAAGGGCTTTGTCTCTAGCTTCGCCTCCCTTCATATCTTGTGAGTGGTATCTCCCTTCTTGGTCTGTGCATTTCTTGCTGGCTTCTGTGATATCATATCTCAAAAGCTCAGGTTTAAGACACACCCTCTGCTTGTCCTTCCTCTTAACTATGACAAAGATGACCCGGTCCCAAATGGGATGGGAAGGACCAGCATCCCGCTACCCTGACCTCACTAAGACCCTGTACACTATGGGCTTCTGAGGCTGTAAATCTTTACCTGAAGAGAGGGTGCTGGGTTTGAACTGCTAACCTAGTGGTTGGCAGCCACCAAAGCTCCTTAACCACAGGCATAGGCATATAATCAGTGACCATGTTGCCTCATAGGCCCTTTTGAATTAAAAACAAAAGGGGTAAATGGAAACTTAGAACCTGGAAGAGAATACACGCAGACAAAGTCTCCACACTCTTGGAATCTGGGAGGCAAATTTTGGTGGAGGAAGACCTCCATGCTTGTGAATTGGAGATACATCCCAGTCATTCTCCAAAATGCCCCTGTAATAATGCCAATTTTAAGGTGTTGCTCGCAAACACGTGGTGCTGCTGTATAAACTTGAAGGTTCTCTGCCATCAAAAGCCATCAGACCACCCACCCTAAGTGATAAGAATCCACTCCCTGTTGATAAGAATCTTAGATTGTTTCCTGGAGAAGAGCTCAGGGACACTTAAGGTCAAGCCAGCTAAGAGATGCCCAAGGTTATGTCGCTATCTTAACTCTAGAACTGCCTATCTTGTTAAGTATGTGCCTTCCTGTCACAGGTATGCCCATAGCACCTCCTTTTCCTGTTGCGTCCCCTTCCTGTTACATATGTTTATGATGTGGCTTGCTAGCCCAAGATTCTATAAGCCTGTAAATACATTACTCACTCCCTGGTTCCAGTCTTCATGTCTTGTCTGCTGTTTCTTTAATTTACCCTTCAGTTGCACCACTGGGCCCATTCGGTTGTGGAGACTGGTCCCCCGCAATACTGTGAACTATACATTCTATCAAAAAGGTGATTTACATTAAATATGACTATTAAAAACTTGCTTAAACATGTCATTTTGTTTTTATATCTTCCCTTCTGGTAATTTATAGGTGATTGCGTTCTCCTTTGTTTTGTAGTAGACCCTAGCTCGCCAGTCTTACTAGGTTTGCCCTTTGGTCCTCAAATTCTTTAAAGATAGATTAGTCATCATGAGACCATTTCTTATTCCCCAACTTGGCTCAGCAGTAGCCTCCAGTCTCTTTGCCCTGACACTAGGTGGCAAACTTAAGTAAAACATCCCAGCACTGTCCTTCCAATGACATAATTATATTGATGTGGCTTGCATGCCCAAGATTATATAACCTGTTAAGAGACTGCATTACTCAGGCTCTGCTTCCAGTTTCCATACCTTGTCTGGTGTTTCTTTATTTTACCCTTCAATTACACAACCGCCTTGTATGACCCATGTATGCTAAGTGGGGCAAGTCAAGCACTCTTAAAAACCGGGAATACTCGGCTCAAAAGTTGAGGATTAAACGAAGTAATGATTTTGAACACATTCTTTCGGTGGTAGGGTAAGTAAGTGTATTATGGATACACTATTTGACATGAGGTCACTGCAGTTTGCAGCAGAATGATTTTGCTGGGGGATATCCTATAAAAAAGTTCACCCTATGCACTGCTTGTGCAAACGGGAGGGAAGGAGGCATCAAAATTCTTTGCTTCTGTTTGCCTATCAGATATTTTCCTGATGAGGGAGATACTAGAGGAAAGGATGTGCTAGCTGCTTCTAAAAGCCAGAGGGCTCCTTACATAAGGGTAGAGTAGACCTTGAGTGAGTGTAATTTGGACATTTTCAAGAGGGTAAGTTATGTTAGCTACCATCAAGTTGCTCACTGACTCATACACAATGGAACAAAGTCCTCTGTACCATCCTGGTGATTGTTGGGGATTGGACCAGGTAAAGGATAACCCAAAGAGCCTCTCACTCCTAACTAAAGGGCCACCGTAAGGCAAACCACCAAAAACCCACTGCCGTCGAAGCTTGTTCCAACCCAGCAATGCTTTGTAAATCATTTTAGGAGCAGACAGCCTCATCTTTCCCCAAAGCGGCTACTGGGTTTGAACTGTCCAGTGCTTACATAACAGCTTTGTTCCCATCTGGGAAGGCTTTCATTTGGAGAGGGGCAGGGAAGGCAGGCCAGCTTCTTTATGAGACCTTTAACCTAAGGATATAAAAGGCTTGTTAATGCTGCCTAAAAGCCAGCCTTCTTCAAGGGCCCTTTACTGCAGGGCAAAAGGTGTCTTTCCAAGGGACTGATGACAGGGAACCTGAACAACAACCCAGGGGTGGGAAAGGAGGAGAACTGGAAGTCATTCTGTAACAGCGGTGTCTGCTTGAGGGTGGACAAGTAGATATAAAGCACTGGCTTCTAGGATCGGGTCAACCACTGGAACCTCAGCCTTCCCTTATGTAGGTAGGGGACACCTGGTAATCCGTCGGCTAACGTGGGAGCAAGACCGAGCCTTGATATCAGATTCCCTTTCACAAAATGGGGAACCTTGAGAGAGTGAGGCAGTTGCACTGCAGTTCAGATATACAAGGCACAGTTGTATCCTTGAGGAATTAAAATTCTGAGGAAATGAATTAGGATGAATTCCCACCCATCCAGCACTTTATGTGCCAACACATTATTTCAGTTTTGAGAAGTGGATGTTTTACAGGTGAAGCAACACAGTTCACTAACTTGCTCCAAGGTCTACGGTGGGTATGTGACAGGCTCCCCTGCCTATAAAGACACAGCTTTCTAAAGCAAATTATATGACGTTGAACACTGGAGTGAGAGAAATGAGACAATTTAGCCGGAATTTGCATCTCCACATGGGAGTGGACAAGTTTTGCTGCCTAACTCTGGGCCTCACAAGGGTTCACCCTGAGATGCAATACTGGTACTGTTTTTTAAAATATCAGGTACTGTGAGCTTAATGTGTTTCGCCATGAGATAGTTCCACTCTGCATTTGCTGACAGATCAGGTCTGTGAGTTTATAGGGATCCTTATCAGACTCCAGACACATCAGATTTGCCTGCGGGGTTCCCCGTCATATGAGTGGCCAACTGGGCTCTTGGTGATACTCAACTCCGTCCCCCTTTGCTGTCCAATATGGTATCCACTAGTCACATGTGGAGCTTGAGGGTCTAGAATACGACACGTCCAAATTGAGATGTGTGAGTGAATACAATGTGGGTTTCAGACGTAGTACTAAACAAAAATTGAATGTGAAATACCTCCCTAGTATTTTTATATAGGTTACATGTAGGCATGATGGGGAAATATATGGCCACTGGAAAATTGAAAACCACCTGTGAGGCTTATATTGCGTTTTTGTTGGACAGGCCTCTCTATGAAAACTGCCAATCTGTTTGATTTTAACATTCACACCTATTCCCCTCTATCGAGTGAACAGGAGCTGGGAATATGTAGGAGCAGCGCCGTGGACCTTTCTTCCATTGAAGCCAAGTCAGTAAAATCAAATGGCCAATCATAGGGATGACAAGTATTTTAGCATCTACAAAAATTGGTGTGGTGTGCAACCCCCAACCAAGGTAACCAACACTAGGTGGGCCACGGTGAGTGGAGCCAGAGGCCTGGGCTCAGAGCTGACCTCTGCTGGCCATTCTCCAGTGCTCAGCTAACTGTCACCCCATGGTAACGTGCAGGTAACAGCACAGGCTGTTCACAGCAAGGTCCCGGCACACAGCGCTGACTCCATATGTGATGGGGGACTGGAGAAGCCAAGAAGCTTCCTAGCAATTCCGCATTATGATTTCCATACGATTGAGTCACAAGGTGAACGTGAAGGTGAAACTGACCAGAATGAGTGTAAACTGTTGAGCGTAAGTGGTTTACTGGTTAAAATGTCACCTGATTCCCAAGCAAAAAGGAAACAGAAAAACAGGTAAAATGTGAAAAGATAGGTTTTTATTAATCAAAAGTTAACAGCAACAGGCACGTATTAAAATGAGTAGGGCAAAGCCTCGTACAAATGGCTTTACACTCAAGCTTTCTCCCAAGAACATGGCTGTTGCGACAAACTGTAAACAGAATTGAGAAACAGTCTTATACGATAACAAGGGGATACAGAGGAACTAAAGGAAAGCACCAATTTCTCCGAACACGAGAGTACAGTTGTGCTTACTACACATAAAACCATTTAAAACAAATGACAAAAGTGGAATGTTTCTGAGTTTAAAATTAGTCCGTAAGTTGTGTCCTAAAAAACATCTGTTCACATCAAAAGGCCCATCGAGGGGTCAAACGTTTCCTCAAAGGGAGGGACAAGAAAACAATGCACTTTTTTTTTTTTTCAAATCAAAACAAAGAAGTTTGGTCACTTAGCTTTGTGCATAGTTTAAGGCAACTGGAGCAATCTGTTTCAGCTTACCTCCCGTCCCCTCCCCCCCAGGTGTGGCTGCTCACTAAGTCACATTCTGAACAATAAATAAGAGCCCGCGCTTCAGATCCTGCCCCACGTGGATAAATAAACACAGGCACAGTCATACATGCATAAACACGCAGCGAGACGGTCATACGCAACATACCTTTCAACCACTGCAGCGAAAGGGGCTTCAGTACCCTTGATCGGAGGACACGGACACGCTTCCCCATCCCACTGGATTTCAGATTGGCAAGTACCCTGAGCTGATGATGGTGTTTAAAACATTCCACCCTTTTTTTCCTTGCAGGTGCAGATCAAGTAGACAGCCGTGAAGACAGCATGCAATGTCTCCACTGTGGAATAAGAACACAGCTAAGGACATCATGTCCTTCCCCACCCCCAAACCCCAAACAAAAATCTAAGAGTTAAAAAAAACAAACCACACACACACAAACACACAAACCCAAAGACTGGCACTGCCACACAGCGCTGGAGTGGGAGCCTGGCGGCGCTCGAGGAGAAAGGCTGCTTTTCCGGGGCACGCACTCAACCAGAGCAGAGAGCGGCTTTGGCAGCATCCAAAGAAGAGAAGGCAAACAAAGACTGCAGTTGACGGCTGGGTCTTTACAAAGAAAGGTCAGTGGTTCCTTCACCCTCATGCTGGACAGCAGAGTGAGAACCGGGATTTTCAGAGTGGTTTGTAAACATCGAGTCTAGCCAGAGGCAGCAAAGGCTGGGCACTTCACATTTCTGTTTTCTCAGTGAGAAATTAGTGGAAGGTACAGAGACAGACACGCCGTTGCATCAGGCAGGTTAAATTCCAAGAGATTTCTGCTCAAAAGATTTAGCTCAAGTCTCACGGTTTGAAAGAAAACAACGTGGCACACCGTGAAACTTCCCTTACCTCGTTCCTACCCTTTTCCTCGGGAACTTTGCGGAGTCAAGGTTCCACGCCAAAGCCAAGAGCATATTGCTATGTGTTCAGGTCTAACCATTGGTCAGTGGGCTTATGTGATCCTTGGGAATTAATCATGCCGGCATCGTTCGCTGGGAAACCTTGACAGTCAACACTACGTTCTCTCACCTCTCAAGACCCATTTCACATTGCTAAAACCCTCCAAGAGTCCCTTTGCCTCCCCCTGATTCTGGGGGAGTCAAGAGAACTGGTTTTCCTGAGGTACTAACTAGGGGCCTGCCTCCGCACGGGCAGCACGGGCGTCCTCGCGGCCGGCCGGCCCCCTCTGCAGCCCCTTCCAGCCGGCCTTGTTGCGCCCCAGGTGGCCGAGCATGGTCTGCGAGAGTTTGCTGTCTGAAAACCGGGCCCACTCGGTGAACAACGGCTCCACCAGGTAGGTCATAAAACCTGAAGACAAAAACATTTAAAAAATGAAATTATTGACACGTTCTTAAACTTCATCTCTAAAGGCTCTATAGTGTGCACCTTCCTAAGTTCTACCCTTTATACCCCCCAAATCTGATTTTCCAACAGGTCTAGTCAGTGTAATTTTACTTATCTTCTCGGATGAGTCTGTTTTCTTTAAAAATTTTATTTTTGCTGTTCCCGTTGAGAATGAAAGCCGCAGGGCGCACACAAGGTCCACAAGGGCGACACTAGTCCAGTGCAGTCATGCGGTGGGGCAGCCATTCAACTTCCTTCACAGCACTGCCCCAGCCCGAGGGCTGTCCCCTAAAGTTCCTATATCCAATCCTTCAAGCTCCTGTGGTCAGTTTGATGTCAGAGAGAGAGAGTTCTTAAAAGAATTCCCTTCTGTCTCCTCTCTAGTCAAGCTACACTATTGTTTCATGTCAAGGAGGTTTAATATTTAAGACGTATTCTGGGAGATGAATCAACCCTCGATGGTTCTAGAACGTCTGGAGTTCACCATCAATGGGAATTTTGTTTTGTATTGCTCCCCCTTTGAAATATCAAAGATTCTCCTACAGAATCTTTGATCCAGATGTCTAGAAATGGGAGCTGAGCATCGTCAGCCGGGTCTCCTCCTAGTAAGGAGGCAAATCAGTCACACTCCTGGTTTTCCTCCTTTTCCTTGGATGCTCCAGGTGAGTCAAGAGCACCTGTTGAACTTTGGATCCCCACTTACATGCTTTTCAGATCCCCAGCACTAGGCAACAAACTTGGAAACAGAACAGAAAGCTAGCATGTGTGGTATCAGGGGGATTAACTGGGACGTTTTATGATGTCATGACCCCAGACCCGGAGACCCAGTGCCAAGAGGTGTTATTCAGAGGCCGCCGGGGCAGCTGCTCTTTTTGTGATTACAATGAATGTATCGTGCACACAGCTTTTGCCAATTCTACTTTGTACAGGTGGACCACCATTTGAAGGTGATTACAATCGTCTGTGGTAGAATCCTACCCTTATAGTCAATGTGGTATTTCTATCACCTTCAACTGAAATTTAGGGCTCAATGGGACGAGAGGTGCACTGTGTATCGAAGCTTCTCTGATCATCCCTCTCAGCGACGCTGCCTCATCTTGCTGCTTCAACATTGGCTCCACATAACCAACATGCAAGTCTCACTGGGGTGGAAGCAATTCGCACCCACTACTTTAATCAGAAGGAGTCCTGGTGGCACAGTGAGTGAGCGCTTCTCACCCATCGGTCACTGTGTGGGAGAAAGGTGAAGCCGTCTGCTCTCCTACAGATTTAAAGTCTTGGAGAGCCAATGGGCAGCTCGACCCTACCCTATAGGATCGCTCTGAGTTAGAATTCAGTGGATGACAGCAAGACTTTTAGTTAGAAAAGTCATATATGACCTGATGGTTGCTTTTATTCTTTTTTCTTTTTAAGAGTCATAATGGCAGCTGAAAGAGGAGTTGTGATATCTGAAATTAGACACATTCATGCATGCATGCATGCATGCATCTACTCCCCCCATTCCTACTCATGTACTCTCCTTGGGTTTCTGAGGATGGAGCAGTGACTGAGATAGTCAAGATCCCGGTCCTAAAGGAGCTTACATCCTGGTGGGGAGAAAGTGAACAAACATCCCAAAGTGCGCGGACTGCAGGCAACTGGCTGCCACGGAGTCACTGCTGGCTCCCGTGAGCCCTGCGGGTTTCTCAGGCTGTAAATGTTTGTGGGAGTAGAAAGCCCAGTCTTTCTCCTGAGGAGCTGCTGCTGGTTTCAACCCGCCGACCACACGCACGTTAGCCCAATGCATAACCACTACGCTATGAGGGCGTCTCAGGCAAAGAGCCCATCAACTGTGGGCAGCCAGGAAGCATAGCGTGTTGGATGTTCCAGGCAGGGTGTGCATTTGGGTATCACACTGCAGCTGTTCCTCATGGCACGTGGCACATAGATGGGAGGGGCCCAGGGGTGGCTCAACATGAGATAAGGCTGCCAAAAAGCTGCCATCGCAGTAAAAGGCGTGTCAGAAAAACAGGCAGCAGTGTGGGCTGGTCTGTACATACATGTTCATGTTCTTTTCACGATACTGCCACTACTCTGCAAAAGCACATTTTGTTATGAGCTCAGATTAAATAAGAATAAGAGATAAGTGTCCTACTGAAGAAAGACAAAGGTATATTTTCTGAATTTTTAAAAAAAGAAATGTGTAGAGTGTTGGTGGCCGCGGACCCCTCCCCCAGTCAGATATGCAGACTAAAGAAGTATAGTTACCTATCTGGATGTTGGCAATTGATTCCGATTGACGGTCACAAAATGGACTCACAGTCAAACAATACTTTTTCTCCGTGTCTCCTACAAATGGCGAGAAAGAGAGAATTCCTAATATGACTACGAACAAATGCTCGTGAGAGGATAAATGGCTTCTCAATGAGTTCTCTTTTGGTTTTCAGTTATCCCCCTCAGAACACGCTCACAGGCTGGGATTCTGTTGCAAAGGGAGCAGCGGGGAGCTTTACCAGGAGTTGCTAAGAGGGCGGTTTCCTCGCGGTTTTCATTTCCAAAGGGCGGGGGATGGACTGAGGGCCGGGTTCCTGACTGCTAGTCACAGGCTGACTGATGCGCGGACTGCAGAGTGTGGGAAAATGGCATGAAGAGGCAGTGGCTTTCGCCCACACACTTTTCGAAGCCGCTTAGTCCCTGTTATAACTGCTGCCGCTTTCTACGACGACGAGGACAGAGCTGGGGTGGCCGCTGCTCTGAGGCCGTCTTGCTGTCCGTGCGCAGCGAGATTCAAGGAGCCCAGGTAGCGCACGTTTGGGCGCTAGGCTGCGAACCGAAAGGTGGGCAGTTACGCCACCAACGGCTCAGTGAGAGAGCAGACTTGGCATCTGATGGGCAAGGCGGCAGCCTGGGCAACCCGAGGGAGCAGCTCTGCTCCGTCGCCTTGAGTCTCCGCTCAAGAGCACCCGCAAGAGCACAGCTGAGCTATCGATGTGAAGTCACAAATGTGTACCGAATGACCAATGTTGGATAAGACCCAAGAGCCAGTAATCACAAGGACCGTTCTAGATCAAACACAGAGCGGCAGATAAGTTAACCAGTTCTTCTCCGGTGTTTTCGACATGAGAAGTAATTACAAAAAGGGGACTGCTAATTTTCAAAGCAGGTGCTCAGTTTGGACAATCACAGTTACATGTGCGGGTACTGTGAATTATCACCAAAAAGGACTAGCCTTTACTGCCAGACACCTATAAATGGTTGAGTCCTTTATTTTATTCATATGTTGCTAAACCCGGAACTGAATACTTATCACTGTAATAACTTGCCTTGATGGAAGAATTCTTCCGTCACTTTTTCACTCCACTGCTTGCTTAGTTCCCAGGTTCGACACGGGTTACAGATGTCAGCGCATTTCAGAGCCATCTAGCAAACAAAATATTGAGATTCTTTTTAAGAAGATAAATCTTAGTTGTATTAAATTTGAATAGTGGGGGGGGGTGACACATGAAAAGATGGCAAGAGAAACCTATTATTACTTTTTGCACTCATTAGATGATAGTCCTTTCCATCGTTTTTGTGGAAAAGCTGAGGAAGGAGCTACAAGACTGCTCAGTGAAGCACACCGCTGGGTGAACACCCAAGGGCCAAACACAAGGACATGCCTCAATTAACCATGAAGCTACAGAGAAAGTAACCAGTTCTCTTGCCCAGGTGTATTTGTGAGAACTAGTGAGAATAAAATGCTGCTTTTCCAATTGGCGGCCTGTCTTGCAAAAGATGCTTTCCCCAGAAACCCCGAGCGTGTGAAATATGAAAGCTATGTTCCTAGAGCACATACTTGCCAGGGATCTCAACAGGGAGGTTGTGGATGAATTAAAGGAGCCCCATCAGCTTCCGCTCAAAAGGTTCCCTATTTTTACACAAATCAGGTATGTGTGGTACAAAGTGAAAATAGTATTAGCCTAGTGTTGTTATAATAATACCTCAGGAGGAAGGCGTGTCCTGAAAAATATACCCAGCAAGACAATTCCATTTTTGTCCAACTAGTTGGGTGATATACCCAAAGAAGTGGAATATTTCTAGGTGTCTTTTTACCTGTAAAACGAGGTGGCGATGACCGGCATTTTCAAGGCATAAGTCCCCTCTATCCAAGTGAGCTCTAAACAGTGCGAGGTAATCATTTTGGCGACTGATATCTGTGGCAAGAATCAAAGCACCTAACTGAGCCTCCATTTGTTGCCTGGAATTAGAATACACAGAGGAAAATATTAAAAAGTTAATCTTTGACATTTTCCCCCTTGAACGTACTATGTGGAAAGCTTTACAGAGTTCTAAGGTTTGCTAATGACCATTCAACTTTTAATTTCTCTCACACTCACGAAATTTAAAAATGCTAGCAAAAAGTATTGAAATAAAAGAAAAACCAAGACAATCTGTAGAAAAGTGCCAGAATGCACACACTCCACAAAGAAGTGCCAGCCCAGGGGGCACGGCGTGCTTCTGTAAGAAGCCGTACAAGACTGGGACTTGCTTAGGGAAAGTCTTTGCTGGGTTAGGTTGCAGGTAAACAACGTTGGTTTCTCTTGCAGTGTCCATAGTCCTGAAACGCAGAAGGGAGATTCACATGGAAAGAATTACAGCCATGCAGCAACTGACTCCTATAGACCTTTTAACTAAAGTGCTCGATTAAGTTCTGAGTAAATTCCACTCAATAATTTTTTTTAAAGTTTGGATTCAGTGATACTTCTAGGATCAAATTGAAAAACTACACCAATCATTTGTATATAGATCTCTAAATCGTCTGGAAAGGAAAAAGCAATCTGTTAATACAAATAATGAATACATTGTATCATGTGAAAAACCGCCTTCCATGCAAGTTATGAGAGGTACACTGTTAAAAATAATCACTGCCCTTTTAAAAAAAAGGTCTCAATAAGCACCAGCTTTGCATAAATCTTTGCATAATGACCAGTAAAGAATTGATTAAAGTGCTAATAATGAAGCTTAAAATTTGGAATATTAAAACAAATCCTAAATGAAGAAGGTATAAGGGAATGCTATAAAGTAGTGTTCCTCAATTTCAGTTTTTTATTGCTTACAAATCTCAGAATTCAACAGGATTAATCCTCAAATGTAAAACAGGACAAAAAAAAATTGAAGGAAGCAAACATTTTAATCTGCCTTAAACAAGAAAAAAATAAACTTTATATATACACATAGACATTTATAAATTGTATGCTTCAGGTAACTTTTATAGTTGTACTACAGCAAGAAATAATTCCACTTACCAGAAGTACCATCCTATTGTCATAACTCCAAATGGTATCCATGAATAAAGATTTAAAAAAATAAAAAATAAAGTCCAGCTTTTTTCTTATGGTCATTACACAAAACACTTACTTTCATTACAAAGTTGTTTTAAATTAAGAGGCATCAATGAAAGAACAGATTGTAATTTAAATGTTGATATCCAAATGTATTTCTGTACCTGACAGTTTTCCTAGACCCACAGTGTTTCCTTACACGGACCTTCTCTCAGCGAGGCAAATTCAAGCTTCCCCTTGTGAGCAGGAGCGGGCAGTGAGGGGGGCGGCGTTTACTGACACCCACCATCAATTTGGGTTCATTGCTTCATTTTATTAAGCGCAGCTAGCCTGCTTAACAGTATTTATTTCTAAGGTAGTATTTCTGGGGTTGTTTTCTTCACTCATTCATTTATCCTGCAGGTTCAGGAGTAGTTTGAGGGCTATGCTACTTAGAATATAAAGCATTTTATTTTTGTCAGGTTGGAAATTTCCTGAAATGAATTTAAAAGACTCTATGATATAAAATGTTTACTTTCTATCCAATTTTCCTTTACGTCTAGACCTAAGGTTTTGTTGTTTTTTTTCCAGCTGGGTGTAAAATGTAGGGATGTAAAACCTATTTATGTAAACAAGTGGTAAACTCTGAGCAAGCCTTGTGTATGTGGATTTTAGTGTGCTCAGATTCATGAAATGGCCTTTCATGAAAATAAATCTTTACTATACTACTACTGACTGTGCTTTAGAAGAAGTTTATATTATTAAAATTTTGATACAAAAATCTCAAAGGTGACAATTGTCCACTACACTTGACAAAAACTGAAAACTGCGGAACACCTGAATATAATAACAGTCTTTCAAATTTCATAAAACTGTTTTGACAGCTTTATGTCCCTGGTTCATACCAAATGAAGTTTGACTGACTCTGACCTACCTGCTTTCCAGTGGCATGTGTGAGAACAGGCCGGATTCTCGGAGGAGCCCCACTGCAGACCTCCAGTGGTGATTCTCCAGGACTGAGGTATTCTACAAGAAAAGATGCATTTCTGAGTCAGGTAATGGCAGGGATCTTTCTGAACATACAGATTTACATGTTAGTGATACGTGTACAAATTTGGTTACATTTCTAATCCGTTCATAGTGAATTTACGTCCACTACTTTTGTGTCCTCAAAACACAATACATTTTCTAGAATGCATAAATACTCAAAATGTGGATGATAGAATTTCACTAACCTTGTATAAAGTTGCCAAGTAATGGTTAGTTTTAATAAGGAAAGGTTGATTGACACCTGGGTGATCCAGGTCGTGAGTGGCAGCTGCAATTAAGCTCAGCATGATATCCCAAGGAGTTACAAATTTGGCAAGCTAAAAAGTGACAAAAGAGCAATTAATCACAAAATATATTTGAAGTCAACTCCCTACATTGCGATAGCAGAGCAGCAGGCTCCTCCCCTCGTCACAGCATCTTTGGCAGGTGTGCTGTTGTTCACGCAAAGAGCCGTAGGTGGCGGTGTTGGGTAAGCATCGGGCGGCTAACGCAAGGTCGATGGTACAAACCTACTCTGCTCTCCAAGGGAGAAAGACGAGGCTGTCCGCTCTGTTAGAAAGATTTTCAGAGTTGGAAATCCATGGGGCACTTTCACTCTGGGGAACCTTAGATCGGTCTCTATTAGACAGACTCACCTTGGTGGTGGGTTAGATTTGGGTTTGCTGTTATGCCACCAGGAGCTGCCAGCTGCTGACCTTGTCACAATAGTGGGGACAGGAGAAGTATCACAGCTATGTCCCTGCCGCTTAGAGAGCTCCTCATCATACTGCTTCATTTCTAATAAGCTTACTTAAATAGCAGCTAAATTCTAAGCTTGTTTCTTTTTAAAAAGAATGGCTTTAAAATGGCAGTGTCCCCTGCCGCCGCCCCCCCCCCCCATTAAACTACCAAAGGCTGCTAGTATTTCTTTTACTGTCGCCATTACAAATTACAGACTTGTAACTTTAAGACTATATAATTTATCTTAACAAATGAGTTATTAGGGGTCAGTAACACCCTCTAACATGTGAGATAATTACTGCAGTCCCACTGGTTCAGGAGGCTATTGAGTAACCCTGTAAAGTCCTTAAAACGCTCCTCTCCCGTGAATGGGCACCTTCCAACAAATTTACACGACATATTCACATCCAGGACTGCAATCTCGTAAGCGAGCAATGGCGGGTTTACGCTCAGAAACCATTCTAAACGTACCTGACACCATCATCACAACACGTGACCGTGTACTGCTAAACGCTTTCAATGACAAACCATGATGAGCAGGAGTCAAGCGCCTCTCCCTCCACCAGCCAAGCCCTTCTCCCTGCATCCAGCTCCTCTCCCAGGCAAATGGCTGATTGTGTTCTGCAGCACTTCACCAATCTGGCCAGGTAACACGCGCCGGAACACAAAGCCTCCCACTCACTTCCATCGGGTTGACGCCCATTCATAGAGACCGCCTCTGGGCTGCCAAGACTCTAACTGTTTTGGGGAGTAGAAAGCCCAGGCTTTTTCCCAACGAGCTGCTTCTGCTGGTTTCCAACTGCCGACCATGAGGACTGTAGCTCAAGGTGCAATCACTACCCCACCAGCTCCCCTCACGGTCACTCACGAGAGCATGCTGATTCAGGCTATCTAAGAGCAGGGTTTACTAGACTTCCAGCAGGTAGGTACACTATCAGTAATGAATCTGAGCATACACCGCCAACTTGGTTCATGCTTACTTTTAGATCATGCTACTTTTCTGCCTGGGTGAGGGAGCTCTGGTGGCACAATGGTTAAAAGGGCTTGGCTTTTATCTCTGTGGCAGTTATATCATCTACTGTCAGCTTGAAGAAGGGGTGGAGTCTAGCCTGTGAATCAGGTCGCAGCTTGATGAACTCATTTGGAGGCACGATGGAGAGAAATAGCTCACTGGAGGCCAGATACGCTCTCTCTGTTGGGTATTACTGATGACAAACCACATGGAGCTATGCTAATGGAGCCAGAGCCCTGGGGCTGGAGGAGCCACGTGGAGACCCCTACCAGCACTGAGATGCTTCTACCGCCACTTGATCCACAAGACTTTCTACCCACTGGCCTGTGATCTTCCATTGCATGTGTTGTGTGAGTCTGGAGAGGAATTTATGGACTGGTATTGGACATATGGGCTAGTATCGGACTCATGGACTTGATCCGAACTGGGCTGGGATATTTTTTAATGTAAAATTACTCTTTGATATACAGTTCTCTATTATACACATGAGTGTCTCTGAATTTGTTTCTCTACTGAACCCGGGCTAACACCATCTCCATAGAAGAAAGGTGAGGCAGTTGATGTCTGGAGCCCTAGGGGCAGCTTTATTTTGGGTTGCTATGAGTTGGAATCAACTTAAAGACAGTTTGGTTTGGGTTTTGGTGCTGGGATGAATCTTTTTCCATCCCAAGGTTGAGTTTAAGAGTTCTTGGGGTGGCACATGGGATTAAGTGCTCACTTACTCACTGAAGGGTTTGGCAGTTTCAATTCACCCAGTCGTGCCAGGGAAGAGTGGTCTGGCGATCTATTTCTACAAGATGACAGCCACTGATACCCCAGTGGAATACAGGTCCACCCTGCATGCCTGGGGCTCCCCGAGTCAGAATGCACTCCAGGTAACTGGTTGTTGCCTTTTTTCAGGTTGGGTTCACTTCAGTGTGAAGAATCAATGATGGTTTGAATCCCTTGCAAAAATGTAAACCTTTTGAAGCAAAGAATGTGTATTTTTTTCTATTTTTACCTACATTTAATACATGGAGAAGTTCAACAAGTGGAGAGAAAATGGTGAAGAAAAAGATTTCCTCCTTTGGATTTGAAACCCCACAACCACTTGCTGCGGAGTTAAAGGAGCCTCGATCGGTTTCCGGGACTGTTCTTTCGCTCTCCCCACGGGCTAGCGGAGGGGTTTGAACTGCTGACCTTATGCTTAGCGGCCCAATGCCTAACCCAGAGCTCTATTAGGGCTATTTTCAAAGCATTTTAAACATAAAGATTTCCACAGGACTGATTAGTAAGATAAAGAGAAAGCAAGAAGGCATATTGTATGGAGCATACTGAATAGGGGGCAACCCCGCCGAGGCATTGCCACACACACATACTTGGCCGAGAGCCCTGTTTATACTGCATGAGCGTGTAATCCACTGAACAGTACATAGAGTGTGAGAAGAATAGCTGTATATGCATCGTGAACCATCACACCACCCGAGGCAGATGAAAGGGTTTCCAGTAAAACAAGAAAGCAAGCAGCAGCTACGGTGTATTTAGACGTTCTGGAGGGGAAAGCAGGCACTACATTCAAAATCAGAGAAACCACACGCGTTAAAAAAATAAAATCCCAAGAAATGGGACTATGTAAAACATAACATTTCTTTTGGTTAAAAATGATTTTTTAAATCATTTTATTGGGGGCTTATATAATGCTTATCACAATCCATACATATGTGCAAATGTGCTTGACACAATGGATGGATGGATGGATTGTGATAAAACAGAAACTTTAATCAGAAAGAAAACTCAAGTATCATGGTACTGACAAGGAAGTAAGTGGCATTATATTAGGACACCTGTTTAATGGATTTAAAAAAATGTTATTTTGACTCTCGTGACTAGAGTTCTAGGAAGGAAGAAATTGTAAATAATGAAATGTGTATAGAATTTCACCTACATCTACAGAGCTACCACATCGGGCCCTGTTCAGTAAAAAACCAGATTATGAAGTGTTGCAGTTTGGGGCTCCGTCATCATGAGAGCAGATGCCCACGTCTCTGTGCCCACAGGCTGCCGGGGAGTTTGAACTGGTTAGCAGCTGGGCACGGAATCAGTGAAACTCCAGGGCTCCTGGTGACAGTTCTTACAGATTCCTAATTCATTTAAGACGTCAGAGAAAAGCATTTGGAAGTACACAGAAGAAAATGTCCTTGGGTTCTCACGCTAAGCACATGCCACCGTCTTACCTTGGGCTCTCTTAGGTAACAGTGCATGGCCTGAGTGACGTCCGCAGCATGGACCGCGTTGTGGTAAGGGTTCTGACTGTGGTAATCTTCCTGAACCAGGACTGCATGGAAGGGACCAGAGATTTCCAATTTAGTTGTAAGTGGCAGGCACGTGCAAATATAAAAACGGTGATGAGTTTGTAATTTACAGTTTTAATGTGGATGATATAAAACGACATCGTTCAAGCGCAGAGATGCTAATCACCCCATAACTCGCGTCTTGTAACTCATGCCCAAAGAACAATGCCTGGGACTGTTTTCATGTCAAAAATGTCAGTACATTCGTCTTGTTCTTGGTGCACCAGTAGTCTCTAGATTACGACAATCCCCAGTCCAGGGTAAAGGCTAGGCACCCAGCACTGTGGCCCCACTCTCGGCCTTTGAGAGACTGCTTTGATGGGACGGCTTAATTACGTGTTTCCCTTTGGAGTCTTTTCAGTCTTCGGATGCCGAACACCTGCATACAGTGGGTCGCGTGGACAGACACTGTGCTCGGCACTGAGGGTCCCAGGGACCCTGCCGTGAACAAAAGCTGGCAAAAGCTTTGGAAAGATGCTGAGGTTAGTGCAGGTCTGATCGGGAGTTTGCGCTTTGGCAGGAGAGAGGGTTTCTGCTCTCCCGTGCTCTGTTCCCAAAATCTCAATCTGAAAGAGCAGGTGGTCATTGGCCCTGTGAGCTGTCCTGAGAACAGCAGGGAACTAACAGCCATTTAAACCTACGTCCAGGAAACCCTAAGGAAGGGGCCGCTCTATTCTTCCCATTGGGTCTCTGTGAGCACAAAGTGGATCAGTGGTGGGCGAGTGTGGTATAGGGATGGGCTGAATGGCCGTGACCACTGGAATCCAGGGGCGTCCAAGCAAGGGGAGTCTACCCTAAGGAGGAGGGAGCACCCTCAGTGCTGAGTGCAGATGCACCACTAGAATTCTGTGTCTACTTTGAACCCATCCTTACACTGTCCTTTTAATATCCTTCTTAATACCGATTTTGTGTTCTATAACACACACAATACAGTAATACACACACATGACTTACAAATAAATATGCACTCAAAAGTTTTTCCAAAGTCCCAGGTAGTAAATGTATTTTCGTTTGGTACTCAGTGGCACAGAAATATTAGCTTCCTTTACAAACTGTGAGACGGAAGACCTCCAGGGTACTTGCACTTTTGACTGAGGCATTTTCTCATTTGGTGAAACAATGCAACTTTCCCTACTTGTGTGAAAGTATCACCCTGCGTCTTTAAACAGATTCTGTTAAAAAAATTCAAAACCTATCCTTTAAAGTAATCTTGAAAATCGTATGGCAAGGATTTCAGGCAGAGGGGCTCAAGAGGCAAGGTACTTTTAAAGTTCCAACCTTCAACAATGCAGTGCAGTACAGGAAATGCTCCACCTTTGTCATGGAGCTGCACCCAGCCAGCATAAGAGACCAGCGGGGACATCATCTCAGTTCTCTACCATCTCACGTATGCATAGCTCCTCCATCAGGAGGGGCGCCATCCTCAGGTGACTGGCTCAGGCCAAAGAGGGGCCTGAAGGCAGGCAGGCCAGCCTGAGCAGGGGGTCTGAGGTTTGCACTCAGTCCTGTTCTCTTGCAAACAGGCCAGTGCCATTGAAGCTAGTACTCCAGGGCCAGCACAGTCTTGTTGTAAAATGAAAAATTCTTCTTCCTTTTTTTCCCTAATGTGAATTCTATGAAGGTGCCAAATTCCTCTGTCCCTTTTTAACAACATAAAAAGAGGCCATGTAGCACAAAGCCAACGCAGGCCAGTTGCCCCAGCTCTGACATGCAAAGCTAAGCTGGCACTCACCTGCTGGCTGGCACCGATGCGGGCACGAGACTGGCCAGGGCCAGAAGTAGCACTGCCCTGACACACAGCCTCCGGAGCTCAGCAAATGCTTGATACGTCAAGCTACCAAATTTGGGGGAGGTTTGTTACACAGCAAACTGTATACCAATATAACGAATAAGATACTTAAACACGCTCTTATATAAAATCTTGCTACTGTTAAATGGGTTACAACCACTTACCTAAAAATCGACGAAGTTTCATTGTATCTAAGTTAAAGTAGTCAATTAATCCATGAAGATTAAACAAATGAAAAGCTAAAGTTACTAGACTATTTCCTAAAAAGAAAGGAGAGATATTACGTTAGTAGGCAAACAAGCTAACCTGAGCACATGGTGTTTCCAAATAGGGATTATAAATATAAACTAAGGAGAAAGGTCAGCTGGATCCCACTTTTTTCCCATCTAAAAATTGTGTTCTCTTATTTTACCAGTTCTGAGCATCGAAGATAACAATTTTTCCCTGTTCTAGGAAAAATGAGTTGTGGAAGTTTCACGTATCCAGAAGTGAAGAATTGGGAGGTAAGTCTTTCCCAGTAACAAATAGCAGTAACAAAACCATGGTACTCTCTTGGTAGCTTCCTTATCTTCTCTCTATCCCCTTATACATCTAAGTTTCTTGAAAGAGTTCAGGGAGTGGGATCATCTTCCTCCTCAACTACCACATATCTGTCCATAACAACCGGAGTCACAAAAAGTCTAGAAATGAAATTTGGAAAAGAACGGTAGGTTTTAGAATGTTTGGGTTTCCCTTCCATGGTATAACTCTCTATTTTCCAAACACTCTATTGTGCTTTTCGAGGTAGACATCTTGGACAATTCTGCTTGTATCCTGTAAGGCCACACAACCCTCTGGTATTTGGACATAGAGTATTGGGAGGAGTGGTGGTTCGGCTGTGGCGTGAAAGTTGGTAGTTTGAACCCACCGATTCCCTGGGAGAAAGAAGTGGCCACCTGCTTATGTAAAGACTGTGTCTGGGACATCCCATAGGGTAGCTCTGCTCTGTCGTAAAGGGCTATGAGTCACAAGCAACTCAAAGCTGCGCATTTTTAGTTTAAAATATATTTTAAAGGGATATGAACTCATAGATTGCAGCCAGCATGTGGATAATATAAACACGATTGTCATTTTCTCTATAGGAATTTTTGGCTTCTTAGTGAAGTTAATAAAGATGTAACCAGTCCTACACTGAAATGTATTAGTAACAATATGTGCAAACGATAAGGAAACATGATTTGGCTGGGCGTGTTATCCAAAACTGCCAAAACAAGTTCTCCCCAGAAGACTGGGGCCGAGGAGAAAAGAAATTCACTGGAACAATATTTGCTTGTGGCAGGCCCAAAGGGCTAATTTTTAAAACACACACTGAATATGTTTCATGTTCCAGAAACGAAGTGGCAAAACGCATCCCAGTATCGATTAGCAACCTCGATCGAGCCGAGAGGGGTGGGCCGTTTCCCTGACTCTGCTGCGCCGCCTAATTCCTTTGGAGAGAGACACACACTAAACAAAACGCATTCAGTCTGGATGCTAAAGGTAGCCGGTTTTTTTTTTTTTTATTTTTCCTTTCTTTCTTCCTGAAGTCATTTTCCGAATCTGGGGAACACAAATGACCAATTTCTAGGGTCCAAAAGAAGTGACAACCTAACAGGGAAAATGCCCTCTGCTGGGGACCCAGGCAAACTGCAGGTAGAGGCTCAGGTAAGGCCCCGTGCTTGGCAGAAGTTAAACCGGTCTCGCTGGGCAGGTCCCAAGATACCAAAGGGTGCAGCCTACTGCTGACGACAAAGAACACAGACAGCACAGTATCGCTGCCCCTTTCCCACAGACTGATGCGACATTTCCAAACAAGTGCTGCTTAACTGAGGCGAAAAAACAAACAGGCACAGAACTGATTTTTTATAGAAATGCAAATAAACACTTTCTGGAGAAAGAGAACTGAATGTTCTCGAAGAAAAGCTATCCTCATGAAAAAACACCCCAGGAAAGAATGGCCGCTGGGAGAGTTCCCTTGATCGCGTCAGACAGGCCTCCAGGGAGGAAGGGGCCGGGCAGCGTGAGTCCCAGGCCCCTACCAGTGGCCACTGGCACCAGGTCCCTTTCAGGAGCGGCAAGCCTTCTCTTGCTGTCTCCATGGCCGACATCCTGTGAAGACAGTCGATGCGCCCGGGAAAGCCGCCATCACTGCTTTCCTCCTCGCAGGGGACGGCTGGAGAACCGCTGACCTAGCCCCTCTCCCAGGCTACTACAAACCCCCCAGGAAGGAATAGCGGGGATTGGACTCACAGGCCAGGAGCGAGGACTGTACACATGCCATCCAGAATTTATTTGAGGTTAAAACATTTTTCAAAGGAGAGCAGCTCAAGTTACATCCTGCACGTTGGAAGTATATCTTTTTATTCTTCTATCAGTCTGTGTACTAACAGCCTCTATAACTTTTCGGTGCCTGTAGCTAACTGACAAGGCGTCCTGCTGGCTTATGTGTACTGGGTTTTGAGTTAGGCTGCTAACTACAAGGTCAGCAGTTCAAAACCACCAAGCTGCTCCTCGGGAGAAAGATGAAGCTTTCTACTTGTGTAGAGTTACAGTCTTGGAAAGCCACAGGGGCAGTTCGGCGCTGCCCTGCAGCCTCCCCGTGACTCGGTGGCAGCTGAGAGTAGTTTACTGAGTACACGCCACAATCTGTACAATCATGGTGCATTCCATGAACCTCTAATGATCTGGAACCAACCCGTCATCGTCTTCACAAAAGCCTTTTAAGGAGTAAGGTAATTAAAGGGAAAATAAAAGTGTGCAGTTACCTGACAGACACACTGTCAACCTCACGGCACTTTGCTCTGGTAATGTGCCATGGTCTCTTAATTAGTGATTGCTAAGTTTAGAAATCCATCAAGGATTTCTTTTTTTTTTTTTAAACCAGCAAGGATTTCAGTGACTGACAAGTGTTCCTGTAGACCAGGCGTCCTCAAACTACGGTCCGCCGGCCACATGCGGCCCGGCC